TTGGGGGGGTCTCTGTAGGAGTTTTACGGAATTACGGAATTACAGCATTACGGAATTACGGCATTACGGCACATAATATTTACGGCAATTGGGTGCTGTGCCGTAATAATTCTACCATATGGTAGAATGCCGTAACTCAGTAATTCTACCGCCAACACTAGCCCGGATTCAGAATAGAAGCAATTGAGTTTAGCCAAACGATCTGCAAATTATAGCAGCCATTTTAGGATATACGCCAACACTCGTGACATGTGAAACAATCAAATATAGTACCAAAAATCTTTTATATCAAAGACTTAAAATAGGAAAATGAATAAAACAAACAATTTGATATGACGACACAATTCATCGGCGCAAGTCAAAAAAATATTTGGTTTTTACCCAAGTTTGCAATTGTGTAATAGAAACTAAATACAAAGACATTAGTTTATCGTCAAATCTATTCGCCCTATCATGCCAATCTTTGAATATCTTTATGGCAATATCATGCCAATCTTTGCGTATCTTTTGGCAGTATCATGCCAATTTTTATATATTTTTTTGCAATAGCATATCAATCTTTAAATTTTGTTAGTGGCAAAATCGCCGAAATTCGCTGCGCCGAATTCGACGTCACGAAGCCCAAAACCGTAACAAAAGACCCGAATCAGAGCCCACGGAATCGGCAAGAAATCGTGAAGAATCAGTTTCCCAAAGCCCCAGGACCTCGGCAAAGAAGATGAGGCGCAATCAGTAAGTCCGTGGCAAGTCCATCTGTCTGTAAACAGAGGCCAAGCAAAGCCAAAAGTGGCATGCTTTGGTTGCCGGGCTTAGATTAGCTTAGAAAAAGTTAGATTTTGTTCTTTCCCCCCCCGCATGTAAAATTGTTATAAAATGGGCTTTTTTTTCACCCTCTAATAAAGACAGTTGTGTTTGCAGAAGAAGAAATTAAGTAGTTTTTGGTTCACCATACACCGAGTATATAGGGTGGTTGTTGTTTTGGGTGGTGATTGGGTTGTCCGTGTGCCCGCCCTTTCGCCACTAACAATGTATTAATTTTAAGAGAGGACAGAAGTTTCTAGTTCTCGTGTCAACCCTAACAAATCCAAACCAAAAAGAACAGTTTCCAATTATAAAACAAAAAAAAAAATTCATGCAAAGTTAATTTTTCGGTTTGTATAACCTGGTGTTTCGGAGATCCGGTCGAATTTTTTTTTCTATCAATGCTATCGAGTAATTCAGGGAAATTAAGGCTTCATCGGATGATACTGCATAAATTTATGAAAAATAGAAAAAATAGAATAATTTGTACAATTGGAACTTTAAAAAATTTTTTTTTTTGTTTTTGAAAATTGGGTTGACGGATTATGCAAAACGAAAATTAACTTTACGTGGCCTTATGATAATACCCGGCGCAATCTCGCTAATTTCGACCGGGGTAAAATCACCACCCAAAAAAATTTGAAAACCATGTTTTCTTCGATTCTTCAAAATGTAAAACGATCATTGCAATTTTTTAAAAATAAAATCAAATAACACAATATTCTAAAAGTACATATTGTTCATTGTAACCAAAATTTCCACCAATGATAAACAAAAAAAGAAATAAAATTATAAAAACTAATAAGGCAAATGCAATTACACCAGAAATTTTAATAGATTTTATTTTGAATGCTCTTCCGGAAGACTATAACTGATTACTTTTTATTTAAGCAAAAGTTTCATGATTCTGAATCCAAAACGTAGCAAAAAAATTAATGAATAAAACATGATTAATCCAAATAGTAACAAATAGATCGATAATAAAATTTTTGAGCCATTGCATAGAATTATAATAATTTTGAAGGGCAATGGAATGTTCCAAATACTAGAAAAATCGTACTGTAATAATAATACTTTATGACTGTAATAAATATTACGTTTATTGATTTATTTGAAATAATAAAATGATTAACTTATTATTATTTTTTAGTCTGTAAATTTATTGTTTATTCTTATTATTTTTTAGTCTGTAAATTTTTTGTTTGTTCAAGTTAAATGACTTTTTTGGTGCTCGACATATTTACCACATGATGATCGAAACTTTTTTGGGACGCGATTTTACTCCGGTCCTAATTTTCTAGGAGCATATCATCATTTCAGTTCAAATTACGCAGCTCAAATTACTCGTAATGTATTCTGCGGACTTAAAATCCTTTAATTGGATTTTTTTTTCCGGCACCTTTAGCTTGCCGGAATAGCTTACATAGCGTCGCTTAGCAAAAATGGTAGCCGGATAAATTTGCTGGGCAATACCTAAATTCGGATTTTTATTGCTGGTTACAAACTTTGTACCACAATAAAATTTTTTTGAATAGTGCGTATTTAGTTTAACCGTTGTGAAATAAAAAATAATTACGCTAATTATATATTATAAAATAAAACTTTTAGTTGTCAATTATGTAATATGCAGCATATCTAAAGAAATTTTTAATTTTAAAATTTAAATATTAGATACGTAGCAATTGCGAAATTATATTATCATATTTATCACTATTTTGTGCACAGTGAACTCTGCAGATTTTATACACTATGAAATATGCCAAAGCATCCACCTATTATTCCTAATACATTGTATTTCTATTAAAGTCTTTTCATGTTCGTGGCATAGTTCGACAATTCTTTAACTTTATGATATCATTATTCATTTGTTCCAATGGCTTAAAATTTGAATGAATTCTTTCTAACCATAAATGTCGTTTTGGTTGACTGCGTGATTCTTCTAATAATTCTTTTGTCTAAAATACAATTAAAAATTGATATAATTAAATATATAACATATAATAAATAAACTAGACTTATGTATACCTTATCTAAAATTCCAAGTAAATGGGCTAAATCAGCTTCATATGTATTCTGTTCTTAATCGTCACTTCCAAGAATATAACTATCTTCATTTTCAATAACTGAATCTTGAATTAATTGATTATCTTTATTTTCAATAATCGAATCTTGAATTAATTGATCATTTGAAGCTTTATAAATTAAGGAATCTTCAAATCGAAAGATATTTACTAGTTCGCCTTCATAGGTTGAAATTAATGGATAATATCCATTTCTTTGTACCTGTTATTAAAGTATAATAAGATAAAATTATAAATGTAATTTTTTTTTTTTTTACCTTTTTGAAAAATATTGCATTAACTTTGTTAACAGAATTAACCAAATGTTTGCACAATAAAAAACAGCTTTTAATAAATGCCGGGCATGCATATATCCATCTAACTGGATTTGTAAAATACTTGTTATTTATCTCAACTTGTTTTTTTTTTTAGGGTTTCCATTCTTTTTTAAACTCTTTTCACCATGGTACTGTATAATGACCTTGTTGAAGTAATTTAAGCCAATATAATTGCTGATTAATAACTTTTTTTACAAGTATGTAACATAAATGATCGATTCTTGGTTTATGAAATTTGTATAAGTGATCATGCTTAATATGTCGCCAATGAGATTCAACGATCATTGTAGTTTTAATATGACTAATGCTTTCACTAGCTGCTCAAGCCTATAAAATTCATTTTTCTTTCGAATACCACTTTTTCCAGAGATAAATTTATAGTATAAGTAAATTATTCTTTTGACAAAACTGCATCATCTCTCCAATGCATTCATCCCAAATATGATTTGCATTAGTAATAAAAGTTCCATCTAATCTTGGTAATAGCATATGTTGATTTGAATGTTTTTCTACAAGATTAAGTACAGTTTCCTGCAAATTTAAAGGACAAAATATCTGTGCATTTGAATAATTTACAATTCCCAATTAGAATCTATTGTTGAGCATTCATTATGAGCAAGTTTTGGATTATATAAATAATAAACACTTGTTTTATTAGATGCTAATCGTTGTTTAATAGCCAGCGAATATGCTAGCTACATAATTGTAAGCGAGCTTCAGGCTATACAATATGTGCTACACTAATTTCAGCAAAATCTTTATCTGTCAAAATAAAGAAAAATCTCTTTAAATGTCGATCTTTTAAAGTTTGCATCTATTTCATAAGAATTTCTGTTATATTTTGATTTTTCTTAGAAGGTAACTAAGAGGAAATCCAGTACCATTAATTACGCCCATAATAGCATACAATTCCCAAGCAGAACTGTTAGTACCAAAGGTTGCACCAATTTTAATTGCATCAAACTTAATATTTAGTAGTTGGTAAAATAATGCTGTTAGGAATCCAATAGCAGGTGTAGGTAAATTAATATCTATAAGGATTTCTTGATCAAGTTCAATTAACAAGTATTTTGCTGATAATAAAGAATCAGAATTACACTGATATAATTTATGAGATTCAATAGACCACCAATAATATACTTGCTGGACTGTTATATTTTCATATCCTTCAATTTGATTTTCTCGAATTTGATGCCAAATTTCAGAAGTTGAGCAATTAATATTATTTTGAATAAAGGTTTGAATTTTTTGAGTTGTTCTAACATGTTGTTGCCTCGAATATAGCATTTTGTGAGAGTATTTAATTTTAATTAAATTTAATGTAAAAAAAATTTCAATTGTTATAATTCCTTCACAATTGAATCGTTCTAAGAATGTTGGTATGTCTCTCTGCTTATCTATTACAGGATGCTTTGCTTGTCACTTTCCAAGCTCAATTCGGCAGTTATAATAATATATATAAAAAAAAAGCTTAATTTTTGCTTTTTATTTCGATAGACCTATAAATATCTATTACCTTCTGAAATAAAAGATATTATTTGTTGACATATTTTAGAATTTATATTTTCCTTTTCTGATTCATCATTTTCTAAAATAAAATCAACAAATGATGATAGTTCAACATTGAAATTTGCATATAACTCTTCATTTTCTCCTTCATAATGTTTGTTGGTATTTTTTAAAGATATTAAAAAGCTATATATGGTGTTTGTAATATCCAAATAGCTAATCATTGAATCAAATTGATCTTCATTGTTTTTGAATATGCAGCCTTAATATTATCTCGACATTGAAGATATTTCTTTAAAACATTGCCTTTTTTGTCTAGAAATAGATCCGAATCTCGAATAATATAACATCCAATACAATTTGTGCCTTGAGAATTTGACATAATTATTTATTTTATTTGCAGAGTTTTATTACAATATTTTTATATTAATAGAAATTTGAAAAAAATAGAAGTTTATAGCGAAAGTAATAGAGTGATAGGACAATAGTAATTTATGTTAATAATAAGCAATATGACAATAGTAATTAATGTTAATGATAAAAGAAGATTGGCAAAAGCAATAGAATATTGTAATTAATGTTAATGACAAAAAAAATTAGCGAAAGTAACAAAGCTATAATAGTAAATAATAATTAGTAAAAGTAATAAAATATATATATATGGATACACAGTATATAACTAACGTTAACAATAAAAGAATTTTAATATGTAATGATTACTAATCACTTTCATTGTTAAAATTCCTTAAAATTGGTCATAATTATTACTATGTAATCACTTTTATTGTTAAAATTCCTTAAAATTGGTTAACAAAATTATCTGAACATCAGCTCCGAAACTGGCAAATTTATCCAGCTACTATTTTTTGCTAGGCGATGCTATGTAAGCTTGCCAGAATTATTCCAATTATATAACTATTCATACCTATGCTTTTTGATTATTATTATTATATTTGTAATGCATTACAAGAAGCTATTATTTAAAGCTTGTAGTATATTTTTCATATAGGCAATATGGCAATGTAAAAGCCATATATGCACTATAGAACTCAATCAAGAAAAATCACCTAACTTGTACAATAAATTCTTGTTATTTAATGGGTATGACTTAACAATCCCATGCAACACGTCATCTATTAAATTACTTTTTTAATAAATTAGACTTTCTTATTTTAGTAATAAATTTTAGATTAACCAATTATTAATCTTTTTTTCTTTGTAATACAGAATGATGGGTAAAAGAAATCGTATCACTGCTCCCACTGAAGAAGATGTGCTTGAATTGCAATGAATCTCATGTGCAAAAAATACTGATAAATGCACTTTAAAGTAGTTGTGTTTAATTAGTAGATTCCATGAAATTATTGAGTATGATAAAGGTATCGAAAAAATTGATACAGCCATGGAATTAGAAGACTTTCTTTGTAAGTTCCTTATCTGGTTAAAACATTTGAACAGCAAAGATTACAAGGCAGAAAGCATCCACGTTATTTAAAAGAAAACAGTGAAATCAGACTATGTAAGTTGTGGGATTCTTACCATTTTGGAAAGGCTTTAAGAACACTTGATAGCAAGATGAAGAAACTTCAAAATGTGGGTTTGGGTGAAACAAAGCAAGCATCTGCATTAAGTGCTGAGGAAATTGTGCAAATTCTTGACTACAAAACAATGCAAGTTAATACAAATGAAGGTTTGGTAAGATAGGTATTCTTTTGGCTGTCACTTTTATGTGGTTTGCATGGTGGCGACGCTAAAAGAATTAACTTTAATGATATATCACGTCGTGACAATAGTGGATTTTTCTTAACATTTAATCATAAGAAGAATAATCAACGTGGAGTATTAAAACACAATAAATATAGAAAAAGCTTTGCGCGAAAGATTTTTATTTTTCTTGATAATGTTAATAATCGTTTTAAACCCATACAAGATATATTGTATATGATGTCATTACAACCTGTAGATGCTTGTGTATTACTTTTTCTAGAGACTACATGATCCACAAAGGGTTTAAAGCATTTATAGTTTTGAATTTTTTTTTTTTTATAGTATTTGTTACTAACTTTTTTTTTTTTTTTTGCTAGATATAAATAAAGGAATTTGGTTTAAAAAAACCCAAATAAATTAAACACAATGATGGCAAAAATTGCAGAACTCACAGGAATTAACCTGGATGGTGGTGTAAAATTAGTAATTATTCCCTTTGACATATAGCAATTTAAAGATTGAAAGATCTGGAAGTTCCAGAGGATGACCGCATAGAATTTTCTGGTTATCGTAGTTGAGAAGAGATCTGGGTATATAATAGTGCAAATGATAGTCAAAAAATCAGGAATATGTCAATGCTAATTCCTTTAGATTTTGATAATGTTCTATATGAAGAATTTAACTATTTTTCGGGTTATACTAAAAATTATTTAAATTTTAAAGATGACAAATCTAATGAAGGCATTTATTTGTGTATCACTTTATTATTTGTTTATTTTATACATATTTTTTATTAATACATTTTCAAATTGCTACATTAATTAGAAGAGATATTACCAGAAGCATCGCCAGAACCACCAGAAGCATTGCCCAGACCATCAGAAGCACTATCAAAAGTACTATTAGGTGCACTACCAAAAGTACTATCGGAAGCACCACCAAAAGTACTATTAGAAGCACCACCAAAAGCATCACCAAGACAATCACCAAGGCAATTGTCATGAAAAGCAGCAAAATCTTTGCATACATCAAAATTGTATGCACCATTTGTACTACCTTTTAAAAAAACAAACATCAAATCTTCTAAATCTCCACAAATTCTCCAAACACTACAAACTCTTGGGCAATATAAACCTTCATGCATTCCTAGGCTTTCATCTTCGGTAGAACCAAGGTCACATTTAGATAACATTTCTAATCACTTTAAGCCTGTAACTTATGATGATATTAGGAATTTTAATAATAATAGGGTGGCGAAAAAGAAGTTCACTACCACTTCTATTATCATTTTTAAGAAAATGTATTTTTTTAAAAATATATATATATTTTTTACTTGAATTAAATAAATAAATCAATGCATATATTACAATTCTAAAAAAAAATCAGACCTCATAAAATACTAACTCTACAAGGTTATTTCAATCAGTCAATATAAAAATCATGTGATTTTTATATAGACCAATGAAAATAACCTAAGAGAAAAAGCACGGGTTGTTACATAGTACCCATGGAATAATAGATATGTTTTAGTACATATATAGTTCATTATGTTAGCAATAATTGTTGTTATGATTTGAATTTTAGTTTTATCTTTATTAGATTTTAATAGTTAATATACTAGATTTTTGATAATAATAGTAAAAAAAATCATAACAATTAACTTGTACATACAAGCTTTAAAAATTGCACAAACTAAACCTGCCTTCACTGTATACCCTAATAATATACAAAAAAAAATTTACACAGTATGATGATTTACCAACCTCTTCGAAACCAAGTTTTTTCTCACAATTTTTCATTTGTTGAACTACGAGTGATGATTTAATTATTTCATCATCATTTCAATGTACTGAAAAAAAGAATAAATGACTATTGACCGAAGATAATACTAATTCTAACAATAAGTTATAGACTGATTTGCCATTGCTTTCATATATATCAGAAAATTTCTCTAACTATCATAAAAACAAGGAAAGGTTTTATGTAAATACTGCTTTACATATAGGTGGTAAAACAAGTGCACAAGTTCATGGGGAAATACAAAGTCTTATTAAAAAATATACAGTCTGATCTCTTTAATCACCAAATTGGCTGCACCCTAATATGGTGATGGCTTTACTTATTTGTGCTTGTTACAAAACTAAAAAAGAAAAAAATAGAAAATGAAGTAGATTTGAAGTTTATTAAATACAGTATTAGAGTTAGGGTTAGGACCTGGGTTAGGGTTAGTGCTAGAGTTAGTGAGTGCTATAGATAAAATTACTTTTCAATATTTTTGTTAATAAACAAAAGTGGATTTAGATGCTATTTTTTGTATTTTCTTCATTTTTTCATTTTTTTCTTTATCCTGTTTTTACGTTGAGCTGATTTGGGATACCTGAAATTTCCTTTTAGAGTTTGTATTACTAGCACAAATAAGTAAATCCATATGGTAACTGCATAGAGGTGTGACTATAAACAAACTGCCAGGTTATAACCATGTGATCTCCAACCACAGCTATGAAATTTACTATTAAAATTTTAAAATCTTTTGCTAGTAATTAACTTTTGATTCACTAAACCAATTTTGATGAACAACTACCAAAATATTCATCTTGATATGATGATTACAAAGAGATAAAATCATTAAAACTCCAGTTATATGATCCTGAGATTGTTAAGGATTTGTATTATAGAAATTAATTAACAATTTTGGTCTCTTTATAATCATCTCATCAAGATGAGCATTTTGGTAGTTGATTCATCAAAATCAAGCCAGTGGATTAGAAGTTACTTATTGTAAAATTTTGGACTTCTTAACAGTAAATTTCAAATATTTGCAGATATAAATATTAACTAATTAGACTTAATAAATTGGTGATTATAGTAAAGTTTTTTATTAATATATTTGACTTTAAAAGCTAAATTTTATAGTGATAGTAATTATAAGTGATTTGTGACTATAATGAGGTTTTTTTTGCTATTTTTAAGTCTGTTGCATAATATTGAATGCTTATGTAAAGGTGTGACTATATAGGGTGTGATTATAAAGAGGTCAGACTATACTAAAGAAAAAAAAGAAGAAACAAAAAATGAAACTTCAAAGTGGCCTTACTTTTATTTAATGAATGAAATTTATGAGAATTGTAAAATGTTTATCCTGAATTCCTAATTGTTAGTATTGAAAATTTATATAAATCAATTTACCTTTTAGTGCTTGGCATAATCAAACAATAATTTGATAGTCAAATACTTGAAATTAAGTTGGATATAAAATATAAGTATTTAACTATCAAATTTTTGTTTGATTGTGCCAAGCACTAATAGGTTTTTTTTAAAGCTTACTAAAATTTTATATTTTTTTAATAAAAATTTAGCATTATATTAATAATGATGAGAGTTCTGTTCAACACAAAAAAAAGTAAAATTGGATAATAAATTAGCTTATATAGAATCTATAGCAGCTATTAGTGCAAGTAAAAGTTATTAGCCAAAAATAGAAAAAAGTGAAATGAAGGTCATGCTGAAATTGAGCATGACAAGCTTTAAAATTGATAAAGAAAATTTTGATACTCAGATTAAACTTGACAAAAAAATGAAATTAAAAAAATTTAAAGAAAATTGAAAAATTGAATTAGAAAAATTTAAATATGAGTTAGAAATAAAGACAATTAATAAGCTAAAAATGAAAGAATTGGAATTAAATTATAAGGTAGTGAATAATTATGTGTAAGTACTTTTATAATTAAAATAAATGCTTTTTAAAATAGAACTATATTAACATATACTGCAATTAGATTAGCTAATGTATGAAATGCTTAGCTTAGTTTTCTTAAAAATCAATATATAGATTATTTAATTTTATCTTAACTAATATATACATTAGGCCTGGTTGATATAAAGTTCTATCTACTGTAAAATCCAGACACATATACCTCTATGAAGTATATCCTTGCCAATTTGAAGTGCCAGTTTGTGACTTATACCTGGGTATATAGATATTATATATATATATGTATCACTCAGGTAGATATAGTAAAACATATTGTTTCAGTACAGCATACCCCCATATAGCAGTGTTGGATGATGATAATATCATAATGTTATATGATATTTTCATATAGTATAGAATTATATGAACCATATACCATTTGATATAGATCATGTTATATTATTAATATATGACACTTCATATGATATTGTAATATGACAAATTATATAAGTCATGTCATTTACATGACACTATTGTTCAACACTGCCATATAGAGCAGTGTTGGCCAATGACTGATTATTTGATTTTTAAGACCAAATGACCAAAATAATGACCAAATCATTTATCATTTGGTCATTTAAAGTAGAAGTTACACAAACATAAATTTGGCAATTTTATTGGATAGATCTTTACTATACTAATTTTATTTATAAGATTAAACTAATTATTATTGTCATAAATTAACTTTAAATTAAGCTATATATGAGTACTCAGATTAAGAGTTCCGTGACATCATATCACATGTATAAGTGTATAAAATGAACTATCAGAGCTAAATTGAATTAAAATCCATAATTGCTCCCCAACCGATGGTCACAATGTGGTAAGGGATATAAAAAAAATCTAGATTAATTCACAATAATGATGAAACCATTCCGGAGAAGAGTTACTCTAGCACATATCATCACCTTTTATTTTTATAATTTTTATATTAGGTCATTAGGTCATTTCAACTTTCAAATGATCAAATGACCAATGACCAATTCATTTGGTCATTTTCATTTGAAATTGCCAACACTGGTATCATGTAACATAAGGTCATTTTCAAAGCAAAGACCCCATATCTCAAATATTTAATAAATAAATAGTAAATATGTATTATTTTTCCTCATCATGATGATTATCAGATTCAAGAGTTTTCTTCACTATAAAATTTTTAAGACACAACATTAAATTTAAATATTAATAACTCTGAGATTTGTTGATTAACTTTTTTGATAAGTAAATTAATAAGTTATAAAATGAAAACTAGTAAGAATTTATGATATTTCATAGCGAGTTTAACTCTCTGAAAATTTACATTAAGTATTAATAATCAGCATTCCTGTAGTAGTTTATATAATAAAGTTGCTGTGCAACTACGTTGACTAGGAACGGATGAACCAGTAAATTATATTATCCGGAATTTTTCTGTAATTCAAGAATAGCAAACAGCTAAATTGTTTTCAATGAATTTGGGTTTAAACAAATGCTACAATTCATTGCATTGATCAGAGATATAGAAGCCATTAATTTACGAATTTATAATGAATTAATTGTCAACAAAATGTGATATCTCGAGAACAGATAGATGTGCCTTTTTTGATGATTTTGATTTAAATGAATGTTTCAAATCTTAGCGTTTATTTAAGCCAAAAGCATCGAAAACAGTATAGTTACCCTTTGAATTACTTTAAATAGTGGTGGAGCGTGTGATCTGCTTCATCATTTTTATTAGGTTCTTACCCTTTACAGTTTCATCATTTCGTCACATTTTGTCAGTTTCGCCAAGTTTCGTCAATTTTGTCATTTCGTCATTCAAGCTTTAATTAACAAACCGAACTAGGTTCCGCGCAAAACCCCAGGTTTCGTCTAACGACCATAAATGCAATATTGTCAGAATATAATGCTTTATTTATAGCTTAGATTTGTTTTGTATCTTGATGTTGTATTTAGTGATGCCATGATTAAATTTGATAAAATACAAATAAGATAGTTGCGCTACATAGGTGCGCTAAAACCAGAATGAAAGTTTTAATAACTAATAAACAAATATTCAAAGTGCTAGACAGTTCTCTTGTAAAAGCATACAAGTCACTCTTGTTATAGCGAAGTCCTCGGGCTGAGAAAAAAAATCTTCACTATAGCTTATATCGAGAGAATACTATATAAACTTCACTATATCGAGTTGAAGTTTAATAATCCCGGAATCCAAAATTCTTCACTATATCAAATCTTCACTATAACGAGAGTTCACTATAACGAGAGTGACTTGTAATATTCAAAGTGCTAGACAGTTCTCTTGTAAAAGCATTTTGCAAGACCAAAGTGCTAATGAAAATACAGAAACTTACATAAGGAAAGTGAATGTGTTTCAGATTGTGACATGAGTCATACCCTATGTTGCTTCTGAAATTTACAGGAAAACAACAGATTATACAAGTAACAGATATCAATGAGTTTATTATCATTATGACACGAAATGTCAATCGGAAAACACCTTTTGATACCTATAAATTTGAAACCAAACTTGCAGTCAAGATCTACAATGGATTACGACCAGAATTTGCTTCCGAAACTCCTGATTGCAATGTCGAATTGTCAAAAAAATGTATGAATTCATATCCATAATGAAAATCTGCATGAATATAACTAATATTAAATAATCCTAAGCACTTGTACAATTTAGTCAGCCATGTAAATTTACAGTGAAACCTCTCTAAGTGCACAAATTTTAACAACGTGCACTTAGAGAATAATAAAAAAAAGTGCATTTATGAAGGTCATGTATATATTTGGGCCTGAATATAAGTGTGCATTTAGAGAAGGTGTGCACTGTGCTAAAATTCTCTCTTAATATTTATGAAGTCTCCCATTACTAAAATATTATTGGGTATTCATTTACTTTCATATTTTGCTATTTTGTAGGCTTAAAATACTTTAATTTGCATTTCTTAAGATTCTTAAAAGTAATTGTTAAAATTTAAACAGTAATATTTAAAATAAAAATTGATTGAACATTGTTAATAATTATTAGTACTTAATATTTTTTTTTAAACTAAAGAATATGAATTCAGATTGCTTCGCCGCCTGGTTATGTTACTGTAATAATTGTCAAGTGAGAATTATTCAATAGCGAGTCTCGTTTTGATGAAGCGTAAAGATCAAAACTAAACGTTCTCTTTTTTCAAAAAACCGCTTATGTCTACCTTTAGTGCTCTAATAAAAAATTTTCCTTGAACAATTTTACTATGGGATATCATAACGCTAACCTTGTCGTAGGCCTAACCCTAATCTATACAAGTTTAAAGATTTTTTTAATGTGCTGTAAGTGATAATAAAAGTTTGAAGGCATTCCTAGGGAAGATAAAGTCAAAAAACTCGTCATGCGACTTGTACTTGTCGCATAAAATAGTTCGGAGATCGGATAGGCACTTATTTGTTATAATTTTTGATTCTTGGACCCTATATGTAATAATTTTAAGCTTTGGCTCTAATGTGCAATTATTTTGCGGGCATTCATCTGTAAATTCTCCTTTACAGCTATTATCATATTTCCTGAAATACCTGATAAAAATTAGCCGAATTATTTTTCGGTCGATTTGGTTAAGTTTGTAATTTCGGCATAATAGATTCAATAAAATTACAAAATTGTATGTATGCGTGTGCGTATGTACGTACCCGTACGTACCTACTAACTTTTACATCAAATAAAAGGTTTGCCATCATTACTAAACTTTATGTGCCAGCTCTATGAAAGGTTTGGCCAATACTATTCACATAACAAAATTATATGTAATTTTGGCTTCAGAAACGTATACATATTTAGCAAAATTACACCTATATCAGATATATGAAAGATATATATGAAAAACATATGTCACGTATAATTCTTAATCTACAGGTAATTTTATCATTATAAATATCGACACGTTCAATGTTATTAAATTTTCAGCTGAATGTTTGGTGTATTAGTTTGTGCTAAAACTTATGCAAAAGACAAGAAATATAAAAAGGTTCCTGATATAAAATAGACATTTATAATAAACACATTACACGAGATATGGTCAACGACTGTTCAAAGATGACTATTTGTCGTAGAAGTTTTCAATATATTCATATCTTCGAAGGTGCTTGAAAATTCGACTTATAGTGACATACTAACATCTAAGTGTTTGCAATTTAAATGATAAGCTTTCTAGAAATTTTTTTTCAATTGAAAGCACCATGTTTCTGTATTTAATTTGAGATATCGATATAATATTTATATTAATCATCTGATCTTAAATTTATACGTATGTGCGTACGTATCGTATCAATTTATAGTATCTATTATGCGAGATCACTTAGTCGTATCGGTAGAAAACCATTCGGCTATTTTTTATAGGTGTTTCAGGAATTATGATAATAGTTGTAATTTACAAATTTACATGGTCACATCTTTATCGTATAGACTCAGAAATAACGCGCAGGGCGCTATTTTAAATTTCGGCCCGAATTAAGCTTAATTTATCCGAAATTTGAAATTACACCCCTGCGCGTCTATATGGTATACTATTTTTAGTCAAATTTTAACCCGCAGTTCAGGTCGGGTAAACCAATTTTTTTATTTGGGTTATTTTAACTGACCATATCATCAGGTCAGATCAGGTGCAATTACCTATCAGCTATTATAATATGTAGAAAGCAAAATAAAATTATATATATGTGGATAAAATTCGATTAAACAAAAATAAAGAATTTTTTAAAAAATTAATTCTAACTCAAAATTCTAAGAAATCACTTTTTCTGTTTTAATAAAAAATTCCTTGTAAGATTTTGGCATAAACTATGCTTTGCTCAATTCCAACTCTAACCTTAATATAATTCTAATTATAAAGTAAAAAAGGAATTGCTTTAATTTATATGTTACAACAATTTGTGATTACATATAGGGTGGTAATAATATTCCCTTTTTCTAATATATTCATTTATTCACTTTTCGTCCTTAGTTTGTGCAATTGTCTAGCTTTTAATTCTAATTTTTGCTTAATTATAATTTGAAACGATCACTTTCGGAGTCATCCTTGCATCATTTACTAGGTCATGAAAGACTATAAGCATATCGCATATCTTTGGACGGTCGTTTGGTGCATAATTAAGCGCTAAATAATATAAAATAATAATCAATATTAATTATTACTTTTAAAAGAATAATTTTTTTTTCTTTTTATACCTTTTTTACAGATTTCATTATATTCTTTTGGCATAGAATTATCAAAACTCCATTGTCGGCTTTTATGATCGATTTTACTTCTTATAGAGTGATCATTATCAAATGGAGTTTTTTCATTTGCAAGCTCCCAAAGAAGCACTCCAAAACTAAATTTTGTAATAAATGTAATAATTTATATAAGAAAACCAATCTAAATACTGTCACAAAAATTTATCAACATTCATAATATCGATATTTGCGGAGTTGGATCTTTATGTCACAATATTTTGATTTTAAAATTAAATCTATAAACTCTAAAGGTTCACCAAAATGAATAATTCATTAGTGAAATTAGTAACATAGATTCAATTCTACAATCCGTGTAACTATTGTCGTTGGATAGTGATTCTACTAATAATATATAGTTGTTTGATTCGAAGTAGCAGATAACATCAGTAACTTGCTGCTTCATTTTCAATATAATATATCAACGAAACAAAAATATTGACGCAAAAAATCTCACAGTACATTAGTTTTATAAACCTACCTATAAGTTTCACAATTAAAATCATATTTTATTTTAGTTTTTCCGTGAATGTCAGTTGGATGTGATGAATGAGTATGAGTGTGAGTATTTCGGTTTAATATTTCTGGTGCTGTGTATTTAATTCTGGGTCCAACACCGACATTTTTCGTTTCATCTGTCATTAATCGGCCAAGAAAAAAGTTTGTAATTTTGGCCTTAGGATTACTTGCACCAGAAATCAAGATATTATCAGGCCTAATATCTCGATGTAAAAAATTTACTGCATTTAGAAACACCAACCCATTGCATATGTCAAATGCAAATATTAACTTAGTCAAAAGATCCAGAGGTTTATGCTTCACGTAATAATCCCTTAAACTGCCATGATCTGACCATTCTGTGATCACATATCTTGAGTTAGGAGATGATGGGTCTTGTATGATTCCATAAAATTTGGCTATGTTCACTAAATCTTTTAAAGCTTTTAAAAGTGCAACTTGAACAGATATATTATTCTTTTCATCTTGATGAAACTCAACCCGTCTCATGATTGTGATGCTACCGTCATCTGTTTTTTGAATGCCTCCATCTTTAAATTCCCTTATAAACTTCACTGATTTGTTATAAAATAAATCATCATCGATGGAGGCGTTCATAATATTGGTAGTTATCTGATCAATATATTTAAACATGGAATTGACTTCATCAAAATTGTATTGAAATGCTTCGATAAACTAGAAAATAAAAAACGTAAATTATGTTCTAAGATAAAAATTATATAAATTATATCAAAAAAAAAAAAAAAACCTTAATTGTTTCTTTAATATCGTCATCAATTTTTTTGGTCATATCTAAAACTTGTTTATCGATTTGACACTCAAATTTGAGAGACGACATAGATTCACTAAACGCTTTTAGTAATTTAATATATTCATTTTTTAGTTGGTTCAATGAAATCTTTGAATCAATCACACGAACAAAAGGTTTTAACGCCCCAATTTGGGATATATTTTCAATAAAATTTTTAATGCTCTGTAAATTTCGTAGAAAAGTTTTGAAAGATAAATAATTTTCTGTTGTAAATGGATCATCAACGTTACTATCAAAATAATTTTCTAGCGAACAAGTAATATGTTCAGCGTCAATAATGCATTGACCTAATTTTCTACACATTTTTCTATTAAGTTGCATGTTAACTGGTACCCATGTTCTGTTTAGATTATGAACTTTTTCAAAAAGTGATAAAAACATATCTTTCGAAATCAGAGATAGTTGCATTTGTGCAGTATTATTTGTCGGAGTAGTAGAATATTTTAATGGTGATTCTATAATAAATTAGATTCAAGAGCAAATAGGAAAATTTTATTATTTTTTTCATGCAGTCAGCTATTAATATCATCACAGACCTGTTAACGGAGCATTTTCTGTGCTGGACGGAATATCTTCTTCCGTGCAGGTTTGTCCTGGTTCTTTTTCAAGAAGTTCAAGATCATTTAATATGGCAGAAATTTTAGGTCTGATTGAAGGATCCGGATTCCAACAGTCTTCATATATATCTATATATTTCATAGGCATTCCTACTTTCCGTTCTTCCCTCAGACCAAAATGAAGCCACGCAGCAAATGCATAGTCAGTCGTGTTTAATGTTTTCAAATGGTGGACAACAGGTATATATTTCCCACATAAGCACTCCGAAACTATAAATATCAGAAGCTTTCTCATCATGATGTTTGGATTTATTATCAATCAGCAATTTTGGATCAACGTAAGCTTGAACACCACGAATTTCGGAAATATATCCATCATTCGATTCTAGAAGTGATTTCGAAAGACCAAAATCTGCCAAAAGAGGTTCGTCTTTTTGAATTAGAATGTTTTTTGAATGCTACACAATAAGTGAATAATCGAATATTATTAGTGTATGCTATAAACATTATCATGTTGATCATTTTGCTATAACTATACTTGCTGGCAAAACCTGGATAAATCTCAAACTCTTAAAAACTGCTGCTACTTATAAAAATAATCAATCGAAAATTTTGCTATTTTGTAATTTGTTTATGATAAAGTTTTTTAAATATTAATTTGGCCAAAGTTTGAGATTTAGTAAGTACAACCCAAAACTATAATAGGTTTGATTTGGGCGGCAAGTGGTGCTGTAACCGAATCACCTTACGATCGATTTTGCAGTAAAACGTAATATTTTCACACTTCATCGTTTGAAGTAAAGGTAAAGTCGCACTCCTCTACAATCATTCAGTTTGTTTTATCAAAAATATGGGACTATAAAAATTTTATATAAAGTATTTTTATAAATTTATTAACGAATTTTTTCAAATTTTAAGGTGTATATAAAATTTATGATTGCATAGGAGATGACTATAGAGGAGTATGACTGTATATTCTGAAAAAAGCTTCTCGAAGGCTTACTACATAAATATATATTCTTTTACATTTCACATCTGTCCAACCTGAATAAACCGGCTTTTATACCATGTTTCTGCAATATTGGTCATTAAAGTTTATGCAAATAAATGATAGAAGTAATTACCAAATCTCTGTGCACTATATCCCGATCGTGCAAGAACTTTAGCCCTTTAAGAATAGCTTTATTTAAATAAAGCTTTCTATTTAAGTCTAGCCGCTCTTTGTGTTCTTTTAGATAATCCTTTAGAGTGCCATTCTCTGCAAACTGCATGACCAAAATATAATTTCGCGATTCAGGATCTAAATTAATTTTATAAATAGATTATTTGATGTTTAGTGATTATAATCAAGAAAGAATCATATGGGCGAAAGCTTTCTATTTTTCGCGTCGTTAGAATGGCCCCCCAAAATAGTATAGTTGTTTCAAATAACGCCCATGCGCGTCTCAAACAATGTTACCTCATGTAATATATCGGTGAATTTTATAATAAGGCAATAATCGAGTTTTGAAATTGACTCTTTATCTTGAAATAACGCACATGGGTGTATTGCAGTACATTTTATATATCTCGCCAGCACGAGTTTCGCGTGTGCCATCAGATAATGGAATCTAAAAATTTCTTTAAATATTTCTTAACCGAATAATTTATATCACGTGAGATATAATGTTATCTCATGCAAGTCGTATAAAATTGCGGACGTGATAGTCACTGACAATCATTTCACCAATAACGATAATAGATTCCTATAATCTTATTACACCCTACATAAAGAAATTGTACTACTTGTACTCACCAGTGATGTGCAAATTAGCTTTTTTTCATTTCATGTGCGTGGAATTCTGGCCCGCATTATGGCGGTTTGCTGCTAATGCGAGCCAAAGTTATGAGAATCCGAAATATTCCATGCGCATGATGCACTTCACCCCTAGATGCACAAAAAATGCGCGACAGGTCCTCGATTTTGATTGGCTAACGGCCGAGGATCTTCAAAATTTTAGCCCGTATTACTAATTGTTTACTAATTTCCGGCCGAAATTAACTTTTTAATTTTTTTCTTTACAAAAATAGAAATTTTTTAAAAAATAAGCCTGCATCATGGTAAAATTGGCCCAGGAACAATTTTCACTTAATGGGCGGCTGCTAAAATTATAGTAACTTCGGCCTAATTTTTTGATCGTTGCTCTTGGCCAATCAAATCGAGGATTTGCCGCGCATTTTTTGTGCGGCACCTAGGTTCAATCACATCACCAGTACTCTTTAATCTTAACGTTTAAAATAATAAATTATCTTATGTTGTGTGTGGTTTCGGTTCATTTACAACAAAGATGGCACATAGGTATTCTGTGCCCAAGTTATGTCCCCTAAATTGTCACGGCAGATTATCGTAAAAAACATGTGACGATCCTTGATATTTTTAATATCTTCTAGCGATGGTTTCTCGACAACTATCTGATTAATATTAATAAAATCTTTATTTTAATTCTCAAAATAAAAAAATTATTGAGTTTGGCTTGGCAGTTATTGCGAAAACATAAAAGGTTCGAAAAAGTATTGAAAATCTTGAAAAATCAGGAAAAATGGTTACGATTATGATTTTTTAGTGTTTAAATGATCAAATCGATAAAAGTTTTTTATTTGAATTCTAAAGATTTGTTAAATCAAAATAAAAAATTTTCATCAAATTTTATTGAGTAGTTACTCAGAAATAATTACATTAAGTTAAAAAAAGGGTCCTGATTTTTCCACACCCTTTTTTGATATTTCCACACCCATATGAAATCATGTTTTTTTTAAATTCGATCGAAAGTAACTCGACACCCACACAACCATATTTGTTTTTTATTTGAATTCTCCAGAACTGCAGAATTCAAATAAAAAAAAAAAATCATCGAATTTAATTGTGTGGGTGTCGAGATACCTTCGATCAAAGTCAAGAAAATTTTGCCGCAGCTAAAATTTTAATATACGATTAAAACTTTTCCCAAATTTAATCGAAGGTATTTCGATGCTCACCAAACCAAATTTGATGAATTTTTTTTATTTAAATTCTACTGTTCCGAAAATTCAAGTAAAAAAAATCTCATCAAATTTGGTCGGGTGGTTGTCGAGATATCTTCGATCAAAGTTTTAAAAAAATTATAGATGTCAAGATTTTTTTTGACTTTGATCGAAGATAACTCAACAACCACACGACCAAATTCGGCTAATATTTTTTATTTAAATCCTACGGACAGTGAAATTCAAAAAAAAAACCCCCATCAAATTTGGCTTGGTGGTTATCGAGATACCTTCGGTCAAATTTGTGAAAACGTTTTAATCGTCTATCAAAATTTTAGCTGCGGCAAAATTTTCTTGACTTTGATCGAAGGTATCTCGACACCCACAAAATCAAATTCGATGAATTTTTTTTTATTTGAATTCTGCAGTTCTGGAGAATTCAAATAAAAAAATTTTGTCGAATTTGGTTGTGTGGGTGCCGAGTTACTTTTGATCAAATTTTAAAAAAATATGATTTACATATGGGTGTGGAAATATCAAAAAAGGGTGTGGAAAAATCAGGACCCTAAAAAAATTATATATGTTTTTTCTTTTACAAGAGATATAAAACTTTGAACAAAGATTTTCGGCGATTACCTAATTAAATTTGAATTTTTTTATTTTAATTCTAAATATTTGTAGAGTAAAAATGAAAAAATTTTTATTGAGGTTGACCATGTAGTTATTGAGAAATAGCTGATTATGTTTTAAAAAATTTTGAATGTATGTGTGGTAGCTTTAATTGTTCATCAAATTCGATGAAATTTTTTATTTTAATTCTACAATGCTGTATAATTAAAATAAAAAAATTCATCGAATTTGGTTTAGTAGGTATTGTGAAATTCTGTAAACAAATATATAAACTTCCTCAACATCTACTGAATTAAAAAAATTTTATTTTAATTCTACAGTATTGTAGAGTTAAAGAAATTTATCAAATTTGATCAAGTAATTACTGAGAAATATTTATTTAAAGTTTTACAATTAAAGTTGTAACACATGCTTTCAATTATTTCTCAACACCACATGTCCAAACATAATAGAAAATTTTCAATTTTAATTCTACAAATATTATAATTAAAATAAAAAAAATTTCGTCGAATTCAATCAGGTAGTCGCCAAGAAATCTTCGTTCAAAGTTTTATATCTCTTGCAAACGAAAAAATGTACTTTTTTTTTTAACTTAAAGCAATTATTTCTCAATAACTACTCAAAAATTCGATCAAAATTTTTTTATTTCATGGCGAACTTATGAAATAAGAGCATTTGCCTTACTATGAAATGCGTCATTTACTATTTGCTTTTTGGTATTTCTTATTGTAAAATCATGTAGATAACGTCTGACCCATCTTTTCTCGGGAAGATGGGCTAGACATAATCTATATGATTTTACAATAAGAAATGTCAAAAAACAAATAGTAAATGACGCATTTCATAGTAAGTCAAAATGCTCTAATTCATAAATTCGCCGCAATGTTAATTCTACAAATCTATATAATTAAAATAAAAAGAATTTCATCGAATTTTATCTATTAGTTATCGAGATATTTCACTTAATACTAAAAATCATAATCGTAGCCATTTTTCTCTAGGATTTTCAAGATTTTCAAAATTTTTGATTGAAGTTTTCTCGATAACTACCAGGTAAAAACTCAATAAAATTTTTTTTATTTTAATTTTACATGCTTGTAAAATTAAAATAAATAATTTTATTAATATTAATCAGATAGTTGTCGAGAAGCTATCGCTAGAAGATATAAAAAATATTAAGGATCATCACGTTTTTTACATAGTACAGCCAATCAAAATCGATAATCTGCCGTGACAATTTTGTTGCGGCTAGGGATGCGACCCGGATGCAAATTTGTCACCGGGTGAATACGGATTTATTAAGAGAAAGGTGCTAAAAAATCCGATGTATTCTGCTATTATATCTTTTATTAGTAACTCAACATCTGATCACGACTAATTAAGCAAATATATGGTTAATCCTCAATCCCGTATCAGGTATGACGTCACGATAATGAAATTTCAAAATAAACGTTCGTTTTTGTCAATACCGTATAGTTCCGAAATTAAGCACCCCCGAAATTAAGCACCATCAAATTT